GCAGATCACGAGGTCAGGAGATCAAGTGATCCTTCTGACTCAGCCTCCCAAAGTGCTGGGATTACAGGGGATTACAGGCATGAGGCACCTGTGTCTGGCCAACTTCATTTTTTTAAGAGATGGGGTCTTACTATGTTGCCCAGGCTGGAGTGCAGTGGCATAATCATAGCTTACAGCAGCCTCAAATGCCTGAGCTCAAACCCTCCTCCCACCTCAGCCTCGCCATGCCTGGCCAGAGGCCACAGGCTGCTGATGCACCAGGCATGTGTTTTTTGTTTTGTTTTGTTTTTTTTGAAACACGTTTTGCTTTTGTCACCCAGGCTGGAGTGCAATGGCACAATCTCAGCTCACTGCAACTTCCAACTCCTGGGTTCAAGCGATTCTCCTGCCTCAGCCTCCCGAGTCACTGGGATTACAGGTATGCACCACCACACCCGGCTACCTTTTGTATTTTTTGTAGAGACAGAGTTTCACCATGTTGGCCAGGCTGGTCTCGAACTCCTAACCTCAGATGATCCGCCCTCCTGGGCCTCCCAAAGTGCTGGGATTACAGGCGTGAGCCACTGCACCTGGCCTTACCATGCATGTTTTAAACACATACCCATCAATGACAAGATCGGGGATGTGAATGGCTTGGAGGCATTTGCATAGTAGTGGAGGCACTAGGTGAGCAGACATAAAGAAGACAATGGCAGTTCTCAATATTCACCATCACGGCTTTGAAATCCCGGTCAACCTGCCCCTCTCTGTCTCTGGCATTCATTGACACAGGCTTTCCCTGGCCTGAGATCCCATCCCAACACACACGACAGAAAACAGTGCAAAACAACACAGATGCTGAGTTTACACAATGTACAACTCTGAACTGAGAAAGTGCAAGGAGACCACAGGAATGGAAGTGGGTAGGGGTGGGGAGGACGGGCACCAGGCTGGCGTCCTGACAGCCACACCTGGGTGCAGGCCACGTGTCCTCATGGCCAAGGTAACCGGGTGTCTCAGGCACTTAATAAATATGAAGGGTGACCAGAGACTCAGGCTCTCCCTCTGGGAAGTGGCGTCATTTGGGGAATGAGTTTGGTCTCGGTGCCACCCCGGATTCAGCCGGATCAGTTCCGACGCCATGAATCCCTTTCCCGGTTTGAGGAAGGTACAAGCCCAGCTTGAAAGACACTGGGTGGGTCCTGATTCGGGGGTGACAGGGCAAAGGCTAACTTGGCTGTTGAGCAAGGCTTGCGTAGAAGAGGTAAACACGTTGACTCCTGAGTTTAAGGGTTCGGCTTAGAGACTGGTGGACGAGGCAGGGCCAGGGGTCCCGTTGGTGACATCTGCTGTCGTGTGTTGAAAGCCACTTGCTTCTCTGGACCTGACATCCCCTGCCCTTTCATCTTCCACGTTTGAGGATTGTGTCACGGTGGAGAGAAACTCAAAACTTCCAAATGGACGTGTCATCCTGGCACCCCTGGGCCTGTTTCTCTTCTCCTTCACAAGTAAAGAAAGAAACCAAAAATCCCAACCCAAGCCACTGCATGGACACTGTCCGAAGCCTGTTCTGCCTCCCAGATGAATAAATATATAAAACAAAGCTCTGGCAGGCAATGCTTTGGTCTTCTCTGTCTTTGACTAAAACGAGGCCGGCGAGGTCTCAGGAAGGGTTCTGGGCAGGGACGGACTCCAGGCAGATGTTCACGCCACGTCATCCTCCAGACTGACCATCTGTCTCTGCCAACAGATGGTAAACAGCGGAAACGATCAGTCCAGCATTCAGGAAACTCGGCCGGAGGCCACCTACTTCTCACCTCCTGGGCTCGGCAGCCTCCCACATCCTGATCCCTCAGCATGTTCCCCCAGGAGCCGCCAGAGGGAGACGGTGAGTACACGATTCAGTCACTTCCCACCGCTCTCAGGGCAAAAGCCAAAGTCCTCCCCCCCCCCCCCGCCCCCCCCGT